CTCGCGGGCCTCACACCGGCCCCCACTGTTAGTCCGTTCCCTGACCTGTGGCCCCTGGAGTGGCCTGGGGGCCGTGTAACACCCAGGAGCGGACGTGGGGACCTGGCCTCCCCTACCTTCCCGGTCCAGGCGCCTCTCGTGGCGGTATCGGTGGGAGAGCGCTGAGAGGAACGCCTGGCCTGACCAGAGCAGGCGTTCATTAAATCTTGGTAGCGGGAGTCAAGGTTGTGCGTTTCCAGTAAAGTCAATTGTATAGGTGCCTCGAATGTTTTGCAAACAAGTTCCGGTGCTAGGTAGGATCGGCCGGCGAGAGCTGAGCCTTCGGCTGGTTTCTTTCTTTTTTGGAGGAAGCGTGCAGTGGGAAGCATGACTTGGGAGAAGATGGGAAGAGTACTTGGGCCGGTTTCGCCGACCGTGACAGTGTCAGAGAGGTTACCCCGAAACAGGACACTTGGGCAGACCTCGAAGTCGGGCGCTTGAATCCCGCGGCCTCCTGGCCCTGGGAGCCACACCAAGGAAGCCCTGCCAACCCAGACGTGCTCGTATCAGATGAGAGAAGGCTGGACCGGAACAAATTGGTTGCTCTTAAAAAACAGTAGGCGCGCTCCAGACATCGCCATCAGACTTAGTTCTAGGGACTAGAAGCAAGGAAAATCGTTCAGGGCCGGGTGATCCCTTCTGGGAGGCGTGAGGACGGAGTAATGTGTCAGGGTTTCCTTGTCAGACTTTTAAAGTTTATTTAACCACTTTATGAGGTCAAATTTCTTGTTACAATTCGGAAGTTTTTTGAACCTCTTAACTTCCAAACCAGAAGAAGGGGGGGGAGAGGGGAGAGGGAAGGGCAAGAGTGAAGTCGGGTACCCTTATTCAGTAGCAGTTAACCCCAAGTGAAGTTCTGGTTCAGTAGGTCTCTGTTCTTTATTGTTTCTAAGGCTTAAAGCCATACTATTTACTAGTTACTTTAACCTGAGGCTGCTGTAACGAATGCCGCAAGCTAGGTGACTTCAACAAGTATGTGTTTCTGACAGTTCTAGAGGCTACAAGTCTGAGATCTGGGTGCCAGCACGTCGGGTTCTGATGAGGACCCCTTCCTGGCTTGCAGACCGCCGACTTGTGGCAGTGTCCTCACCCGGAGAAAGGGCTGCCTCTTTCCCGCTTAAGAGGACACTCATCCCATTGTGTGGGGGGCACCCTCAAGACTTGGTTACCTCCCAAAGGCCCTGCATCCCAAATCCTGTCACATTAGGGCTTCATCATGTGAACTGGGCAGGGGTGGGGCAGAAACATTCGGTCCATAGCAAGTGTAATCTTATTTTTAGTGGAGTGTATTTTAAGGACAGGAGTTTGCTGTGAGGGTTCGAGGTCAGAAATAACCGCCCTCCAGTCACTCGCAGAAGGTTTGCATTTCCTTGTGCTTTTTTCACTTTGCTTTTCTCTTTCTTTCTTGACCTCCCCTTTCTTTCCTTTCTCTACTTTCTTGCTGTCATGATTTGACACTTGGAATAGAGATTGTCAGAGATGGTTGTGGTAGTTTGAAGTCTATTCTGGAGGTGACTAGTATCTCCAAAAAACTAGCTGGTCTTGAATTCTCCAGGTGTGAGATGCTCCTTGACAAGGGCCAAAGTATCCAGGTTGAACTTGTATGAAAACGCTTTAGTGCTTTAAAAGTAAAAATAGGGCTTCTCTGGTGGCGCAGTGGTTAACAATCCACCTGCCAATGCAGGGGGGACATGGGTTCGAGCCCTGGTCCAGGAAGATCCCACATGCCGTGGAGCAACTAAGCCCGTGTGCCACAACTACTGAGCCTGTGCTCTAGAGCCCGCGATCCACAACTACTGAGCCCACGTGCCACAACTACTGAAGCCCGCGCGCCTAGAGCCCATGCTCCGCAGCAAGAGAAGCCACTGCAAGGAGAAACCCACACACCACAACGAAGAGTAGCCTCCACTCGCCACAACCAGAGAAAGCCCGCATGCCGCAACGAAGAACCAACACAGCCCAAAATACATAAATAAATATATTAAAAAAAAAAAGTAAAAATATTTTTTCTGGGTTTATACACACAGTGTTTCTATGTTATACTCATTAACTTATGTAATATTCATCTAGTATATATATTATAATCATTTAATGTTACTTATTTAGTATTTAGAATTGGTTTGACATCAATATGCATTTTGAAGATTGTGCTGAAAATCAGGACAGTAAGACCTAGACCTTTGCTTAAAGAGCTTCAAAGTATATTCTGAAACTTTATTGCCTGTGTATTTCCCCTTCTAACATAACACATACAGGGTGCTGAGTTAGAGGACTAATTAGAGGACTTATTTGCCAATTGGAGAAGGTGTTCTAATTGAATTTTTGTGGGCATTTGGGTTTATTTAGAGTGAGTCTGTTAAATTCCTGATAAGATTTGTGAGTTAAATTTAAAGCAAGGCATTCTTAATACAGAACATTTCTTTTACCTGAGATTAGATAAGCCTTTTTTCATTTTTTACGCTGGTGATTGTAAGAATTAGGTAGGCACTTCTGACATATGGTGTAGAAGTGAAATTTATCGTTTCTTCAGAGAGATGGAAAGAGAAGTGTTGTCAGAAGGATCTATTATTGATAATAGTGAGTTTTTTGGTGCTATACCACCTGGTGGAAAAGCCAGGAAAATGTGGTTTCTAGAACTCTTGAAAATATCCAGGGAAAGCAAGATCTTTGTGGTAAAAGCAGGATGGGGAGAAAGGGGGTTGAGAAATTTCTTTCTTCTCTTGCCAGGCAAAGGAACATAGCCCAACTTCTTTCTTTCTCCAAGAATAACAAAAATGTTATTTTCTTTCTTATTTTATATTGGTGCCCTCTTTAAGAAAGAAAAAAAAAAAAAGGAAAAGGCTTAAAAACAGGTCTGAAAGATATAGAGGGAATGAACATGTGTGGCTTTTTGGTGGTAGTTTGAATGTCATGCTTACTGCTGTATATCCCCAGGGCCTCCGTCAGTGAATATTAGTTGAAATGAATGAATTCTTTCCTGGTTTGATAATTGTTGGCTCTTTATGGGTTTTCAGTGTACCCTGTCTCATGATTCTTCCAAGAATCCTCTGAACATTAACCTAATGAAAGGTTAGGCCTTGTTAAGTGGTTCACCAAAGACCTCCATTTAGGTGGGGGAAAGGCAGAACTCGTTTTCCTGACTCAAATTCCGGTCTCCTTTCTGCTGCTTCTCGGCTATAAAAATAATTTTTGTTTGTTTTTTTTATTTTTGGCCGAACCATGCAGCATGTGAGATCTTGGTTCCCTGACCAGGGATCGAACCTGCACCCCCTGCAGTGGAAGTGCTGAGTCTTAACCACTGGACCTCCAGGGAAGTCCCCCCCCCCCCAAAAAATATATATATATTTTTTTTGCGATACGCGGGCCTCTCACTGTCGTGGCCTCTCCCGTTGCGGAGCACAGGCTCCAGACGTGCAGGCTCCGCGGCACGTGGGATCCTCCCGGACCGGGACACGAACCCGTTTCCCCTGCATCGGCAGGCGGACTGTCAACCACTGCGCCACCAGGGAAGCCCCTTAAATTTCATTTTATTTTTTGTTAATTAATTAATTAATTTTTGGCTCCTTTGGTTCTTCTTTGCTGTGCGCGGCTTTCTTTAGTTGCAGCGAGCTGGGGCTACTCTTTGTTGTGGTGGGCGAGCTTCTCATTGCGGTAGCTTCTCTTGTTGTGGAGCACAGGCTCTAGGCGCGGGCTTTAGTAGTTGTGGCTCGAGGGCTCCAGTGTGCAGGCTCAGTAGTTGTGGCGCACGGGCTTAGTTGCTCCGCAGCATGTGGGTTCTTCCCGGACCAGGGCTCAAACCCGTGTCCCCTGCATTGGCAGGCAGATTCTTAACCACTGCGCCACCAGGGAAGTCCCTGTTCTTGGCTTTATTTGGCTAAATTTAAGGGGAGCCCCTTAAATTTCATTAATAGTGCTATAAAAAGCACATCACAGATATTATTTATATATAAATGTTATTTTGTAGAATTGTTTTCTAGGTTTTTTCATTTTTCTGTTTTGCACATATATAATCATACTCTACTATCATTTTTTTAAATTGTGGTTTGGGAATTCCCTGACCGTCCAGTGGTCAGGACTCTGCGCTTTTACTGCGGAGGGCCCAGGTTTGATCCCTGGTCAGGGAACTAAGATCCCACAAGCTGCGGTGGCATGGCCAAGAAAATAAAAATGAAAATTGTGTTTTAATACAGGTAACAAAATTTGCCATCTAAACCATTTTTAAGTGTTCAGTAGTGTTAAGCACATTTACATTGCTGTGTATCCAGTTGCCAGAACTTTTTCATCTTGGAAACTGGAACTCTGTCCTCATTAAACTACAATTTCCCTTTTCTCCTCCTGGCCAGCTCCCGGCAACCAGCATTCTACTTTTTGTTTCTGTGTGTCTCTCATAAGTGGTATCATACAGTGTATGTCTTTCTGTGTGTGACTGGCTTATTTCACTTAGCATAAGGTCCTTAAGGTTCATCCATGTGTCAGAAGTTCCTTCAAGTCTGAATCATATTCCATTATATATATATAT